TGATGTTGATGAAAGTGGCACAACGAGGCTGAGTGATTCAGTGCACGCTATCTGACGCATCTCACAAAAAAGTATTATAGATTATCGAAGAGAAAAACTTGAGTCCCGGTGGAGAAGGGACAGTTGTGTTGTTGCTGCTTCCATCGTCACTTAAGTCTAACAGACCCTGAATAACGGAACTGCCCGAACGGTAATCTTTTAAAGAAAAAAGACGCCTAACAAAACTTCTGCTGAAAAACGAAATGGACAGAAACTGGCTCGAACAGCTAGAAGGTTATACCGGAACTGCATTAGCACTGCCTACAGCCAAAGACACACTCAAGACTGAACGCCACGTCATTCGGCAACAAATGCTTCCCGCCAGAAGAACTAGCGGCCCAACAAACGCGCACGATGTGAAGCGTCACAAAGAGTCTGTCATCTAGATTATCAAAAGTTAAGAATCAACTGCCAAACTGTCGTGAGCAAACCGGTGTCAGAAATAACAAGCCGACGCACACCAAAATCAGACCACATCACTCGACTAGTCATTCAGTTCGCAGTCCCTTTTTGAGGAACAGATGGAAATGTAGTTCACGCTGTTCAGCAGCTTCAGGAAAGAGGTCTGGTCATTACTGCCATTCCATAGTAAAACTAGTAGTTAGACCAACAGGAGGGGCACAAGGCGTCCAACACAGCATGATCATGGAAGGATATCACATGGTGCACTACTCTAACGAACACAAAAGTTGACAGTCCATAAAACGGTACAGTCATAACGCAAGCCACGCCAGTTCCAAACTCAGCCCGACAACAAGGTCGGTGTATGTAATTCTGCAAAAATCAATAACGATGAAAATCAATCATGAGTTATTCTAAGAATGGCTAGCGCATAAACCAAAAATTAATTCATAGGCATACGAGGGACATTTCACTCAAGCAAAGGAACTTGTCACAGACTTTTAACCTTGAGTAGTAACTCCCCGTCCATACGGTTCTGTGCTGTTAATTTATTCTTCATGCATTTTTACCTGCGCAAATATACAGAGTCATGTCATGTACGTTTTCTTCGCGGCAGCAGACGGTGTCAACCGAAACTATCTTTCTGTTAGTAAATGAAACAGAGCTTCGATATGCCTAACTGCCTTTTACCGAATATCACATCGTTAATTTTTCTACTTCCAAAGAAGGCTTCAGTGACAAAGTCTGATTCAGAAGCCTCAAACTGGAGCAATATACCTCAGAAACCCTTCAACCACAGTTAGCTCTGTCAATGAGTTTTCACCTTTAAAACGTCAACTGCGATGCATGCCATTAAGCAAGCTCTAAACGAATCGCAGAACAGGACAGGAAAAAATGGCAAGCCCCAATCAACCTAGAAAAAAGGAAAATGAACAGTATTGTTTTGTGGAAGAGAGACAGTGTAACGCTTCACCATGCTGTTTTAATGGATAAATAAGGATGACTGCCTCATTACTCATTGAGAGTGGACTCAGGGAGCTTTAGTCAGACAGGATTGCCCTACAAGGGTACCGACTTCAGCCTCTTACAAGTGATCTCTGCCTGTCAGCCGACCGTTTCATATTCTTTTCATTTTTA